TCGTATTGACTTTTCCGAAGAAATTTGCTTAGAAAACTTATAGAAAAATTCGAATAACACTGCATGATTCAATTAATTTACTCAATAAAAATTGTCGAAATTTTCTTTTTCAAAATTAATTTTAATAACATATGTTTTATGTAAATCTTTTTTTCTTCTTTTTTCTCATATTTTATCAAGAAGAAAAATAAATTTCTAATAGTAAAAACCAAAAGAAGATTACTGTAGAAATGTCGGCTATCATAACGGAATCATGTCATGTGCAATTTTCTTTTTCTTTTATCCATTTCCATATACTTATTCCATTGTATGCAATTCCATTTTTCAACATTTTTTATTTTTTGTCACTCAAAAATAGTTTTGCCAACATATCTCAATTCGTTCGCATTAGCAATTGAAACGCCACAAAAACGAAAAACCAGAAAATTTCCATAACAATGCCACCAGAATGCAGACAGAGTTATGCAATACTGGACGGATTAAATATTCCTGTAACCAATGACATTTAGTACTAATAATCCGCCAGTTTTAATTTATGCAAATCCTTACATTCTTTGCGCCAACGAAACTGTGCCTTTAACCAGTAACATTTAATACCAACAACCAGCCAGTCTCAATTTATGCAAATATTCACATTCCCTGTATCATCGAAACTTTCAATATTTCTAGTAGCTTTCACCATTTCATAGTAGTACAAAAGCGCATTCACCAACTGCGAATTCAGAGATCGGAAAATGAAAATGCAAGAGGGAGAAATATAACAAAAAATGTAAATCTCATGAATTAAAAACTGTTTGAACCTTTAGTCGTTTAATTCCAACCAATTTGAAATAAAAAGCTTCCATTCGAGCATTTCTGCTATTTCCAAAATTCTGTATTTCGCCTTGTTCTTTGCTACATCGATGGCATATATTATTTGGTTCACTCTTCTGCTATGCATCGTTTCAGTTCGAAATATTCCAGGTGACTTCCATTGAGTAAATTTAGGCAATAAGAACAAAAAATTGGAACCGAAACTGATTTCGTCTTATCGTAATCAGCTATTCTGCGATTATAGGTAACATTAACGCCAATATTTTTACTTGAAATATATACAAAAACGAGTGAACAGAGCTCATGATCAAAGTCAATCAAAATATGATATGACAAGTTTGTTTCATGACACTGATATTTTAATGATCAGTTTTCAAATTGGGTCAAATAATTACCAAATGAATAGGAAAGCTAATTACAAACACAAATGTCACAATAGTTATTTTTCAGATGCGAAAAAGTATAAGTTGCAACATGGTAACTCTAGTGCGTCGGGAAGAATTAGTGAGGAAGAATTCCGCAATCAATCATTATTTTACATACACAAGAAGTTCCGCAATCCATCACTTTACAAACACAAGAAATTCCGTCGACACAGATCTCAGAGTGAAAACTTCCTCAATTTTAAGCAACCACTGAGAAGATACAAGAAATATTCCCGGAGAGTTTCTTAGTTTTGCAAATTCAACAGAGTTTTTAGCATTTTTATCTATCTAAAATAAATGCATGTGAAAATATGTTACGAAATATCTATGACCATGGAGTGGAACAAATTGTTCACTTCGTTTGACTCAATAAAGCAATATCTAAGAAATGTTCATTCTAGGCCCAACGGAAGAGAATCCGCAGTTGGGACATATTTTGGCAGATACACGAAATCAACCAAAAAGATCACTCGGGTAATAAGTCTTTTTTCTTATATCTAATCACTGTCAACTTGTTGGATAAGACTGACGATATAGTTAATTTATGCTGAAAAATTATAGCCTTCACTTTTAAAACGAATATAAAATACGAGGAAATATGTTTTCGAAAAAAAAAAATCACTAGCTTCCGATGAAATGCTAAAAATTCGGTACAAGGAAATTTTGAAATACGATAACCTTCAGCGGAAATAGAAACCATTCAACATGTCATGTATGTTGTTATATTTCACTATTCATGAAATGTTCATCATAAAAATTTGAACAACAACAACAAAAAAGTTAACCGCAGATTTTCATAATTTATTGAAAAGCACTAATTAAGAATGTATTATTGATAATAGAAATATTTTTTGGCTACATGTGATCGCAATTTTAATTTTACCTCTATCAAGATTTTATTCCTATCAAAACTTTGGAAACATTTAACGAATACTTGCATTTCATGATAAAGTTTCAAAAATATCGAAAATATCCTTAACCAGTTTTGATAAATGCTTTGATGTGGTAATTTGTTTGCTATAATGATAAACAATTACTCTTAAAACTTGCTTATACAAATCTGATGTCATTAGTGAATCGGCTATCAAGGAATTAATTTCTTATTCCGGATTGTTGTCGGTTAAGGTTACATCGACTATTCCGCCTGATTAATTAGGCGATTAATTGGATAATAACTTTGATAATAGATTGTATCACACTAAACACAATGTGAATCATGCTCTTTCAAATATCCTACACCAATCAACTTCTGCTGGAGAAGCCGAAAAAGAAATGTTATGAGTTTTTTTAATTAAAATTCATAATATTTCTCAAGTAAATGATTTGTTATGCAGAATTGACAAAATAAATATTTTGGTACTTAAATTGATAAATCATTTATCCAAATCAAACTTATCATATGCATTTGTCGGAATGTTGTAAAGAACTTACGTGTAAATGTTAAAATTTTGTGAAGAACCTCAAATCTAGTAGTTAAGCCAATGTGTCTGGAATGTTAAACTACTGCCACCATAAAAGGAGCTGGGATCAATCATCAGGACGGTCAGTTACTAAATTCAAAAAGCTCAAGCAGTCAGTCAATCTGACAACTCGCTCAATCACTCAATCGGGCAGGTCGCGTAAGTACTCAAGACGACATACATTTGGACATTCAATTCAACAATGGTCAACTGCAGAAAAGCAGGAATACGACATTTGAGCGGAATGAGTGACAAGACCTTTTTGCTATCCTTTAATATTTATTGTGCATTGTTCATTTCGTTTCTATTATTGATACGATATTGTACTATATCGTATAACACCAATGAAGGTAACTATCAACGATGCGGAGTTACAATAATAAAAAATAAACTACCTAATCTTTCCTCAATAATTTCATCATTCTTGAAACAACAATCGATCTCCTTACTCCGATCTCGCTAGCTGTAAACTTTGTTAATCAGAAATTAATAATAGTACATTCAAATAGTTTAAGTGGAACTTTTTCACCATGTTAAGTTTTAATTAGCTTAGTATTACTTGGAACTACTATTTTTAGCTATTCAGTAAAATAAATGGCATCAGGAAACCGAAATAATAGTATTATTAAATTATTTGGCTCTTAGCCAAGCAATCTTATGTTTACGATTATTTTGTTATAAGTATAGATCGAGAAATCGAAAAAGTTATAATATCTTAAGGCATTACTTGTTTAGAATACTGTAATGATCTTACATGCATCTTGTATGCATTTGTCAGAATATTGTAAAAATCATGTATGCATTTTGTACATATTTACTTGCATTTATGCATGTTGTACACATCGAAATAAAAAAAGTTGACTCAAACATTTAAGGAAATAAGCTCACATGGACACATCTCCAGTGGAAGTCGTGAAGTTAGTGTTTCATCGATCGCTGCCAACACTTTGCTTGGTTCATATAATTTACACACATTATACAAGGGCTTATCATTCCTATTGAAGTCATTATTTTTATTCAGTTCAAGATCCGATTCTCGATACTGATTTTCCCCTCGTGTTATGCCCTTTTGTCTTTATACGAATAAAGTTTCGGATTAATTGTACTGTCGTTATGTCGATCACTATCACTACATATCACTACATCTAACGCTGCCGGTTTTCATTACGGACTACTCTGCTTCCTAGAGATTAAAATTGTCCGTAATCCATTTCAAATATATTATCCACTCATCAATTCAAAAAGGAAACTTTTTCGATAGATGGGTTGAATAAACCATTAATCCTGTATTCCAAAATGCAGCACTGAGATCAAAACTTGCTAACGTTATCATTCATTTCAAGTAAATGCATGAGTCCTATAGCTTATCTAAAGAAAAGAATAACAGGAATTATGACAATACCGATTTATGAAAAGATCGGGAGGAATGCGAAAACAAATCCGATCGATTTTTGACCTGAATATATCCGTCTACTTTCCGTTTTTTTTTTTTCATTTTATATAGATCATTTGAAATATTGTGCCTTCAATTGGATCAATTTTCATTTTCAAAAAAAAGTGAAACAAAAAAAACTTGCCATAAATGACACATTTCCCTATACCACTATGTCTTAATATATTCCACAACACGAAATTTGACTGGACAAATGATAGATGAAATTCATAGTTGTTGAATTACTATGTGCAAGATTATACCATCAAGTGTGAAATAAACTATAAGTTTCATAAAGGTTAAATAAAATGAAAAGATCCATTTGCAATCTTTAGCAATAAATGATATATAATTCATGTTATTATCAAGATTTCTAAACAGACCGCAATTTTCTTTTTTGAATTCGTTATTCTTTCCTTTTTTTCGAACTTTAATAACTACCTTCTACAATTCCAAATCTTTCATGATAAATTTATTATTTGAGAATTTCTTCATTCATCTCTAATTAAGATTTTCTTTTTTGTATGGAAACATCGACCAGTGCAACATCAGCGTTGTAAAATACATCAAATGCATTTGTTTCACCAAAATTAAGACGATCAAAATTTAAGTGCTGGAATAATTCTGTTAACAATTCTTCGTTTCCAAATTTTTTAAAAACAGTTCTTCAGTGCTTTGTGAATTTGTCAATTCTTCCTAAAAATATGGACCTCAAAAGGAAGAAGGCTAACATAACCCGAAGTTATCGATGGATTTTCAGTCTATAATTTTTCTGAAAAATCGTGCATGCCCATGTCATGTGCTCACCGTTAAATTAACATTCAGTGAGTCTGCAACCTTCTGAACATCATTGCAAGCCAATTCACGTATTTTCACATATTTTGTAGCCTTCAAATCCATTACCAGTACAATCTGTAAAAAGAATGCAGAAATGTCAAAATATTGAAGGAGTTTGAAAACGTGGTTCAATTTCCGTACTTTCATTTCAGAATTTTCCATTTTTTTTTTTTAACATCATGAAATATACGATACGAGTACGATTAAACTCGGTAACTCCATTTTCCCTTGCTCGTGATAAAACCATCCTTTATATCTCATTTTCTAAAACCACAGCTAAATACAATTCCGACAGTTCCATCTCAACCTGATTTTACCAATCGAAGTGAAGTTCGTTTTGAGAATTTCTCGAGATGGAGTTCATTTGTGCTATGAAATCATCAACTTTGCTGTTGAGATAAAGCAGAAGAATGAGTCCGAAGTTTTCGGGCAAAATGTGCTGAAGCATTTGTAGCATGTTTATCGATGGGTAACGGTAAAGTGTGATAACGGATGATACACGAGTAATAACACCCGGAAGAGCTGTGCGAGGAGGCAGTGGTATTGGACACATGTTCGCGTTCGTATGTTCAATCATTATTTAAATACTTCATCACAAATATCGCAGCACCCTATAAGCATCTGGATTTGCTGTATGTTATTATTGCTGACTCGTGTAGGTTAAATTAATGCTGGTAAACAATAATCTGTAAAATGAAATAAGATACTAACAAAAAAAAAGACACAAGAAAAACTTGGTTTTTCACAACTCTTTGATATATATTTAAAGAAAGAATGTCCGGTTTGAAAAAGTACTTTGCTTAGTAATGAAATAGCTTAGAATTCACTTTGGCATAACAATTTAAACGAGCCACTCAGTACGAAAAACACTTGATCCAAAATTTTGCCGACAATTGATTCGTAACACGTAACAGCGAATGGCTGATATTTTACGGCCCCCCTTTTGCAATTCATTCGTTTCGTGTCATTTTTCAAATTCTTACTTGATGTGGAATTTTTGAGCGACACTTTGTTTTTACTTTTTTGTTGTAAGATATTAACGAAGGGATAATTACTCAATTAGACAAATAAATTATTTGTTGAAATTTGAATTTTTCAAGAAGTCTCAATTTTTTTAAAGTTTAGTATCAATGTTCCAATTTTGAAAATTAAGCTCATTATTAGAAATAAATTATGAAGAAGATTAGCTTAAATGAATAGATATTAAATGATTTTATAGAAGTAAGGAAAGGTCGATTATAAAAGGTCAACCATACGACAATAAATGCTTTGCTTTTGCTACTTTCTTCATTTAATTCTATTTCGTTATTTTTTTTTAATTTTAGTTTAACATTAGTGTCGATTTTTAATTTTTATTACTGATCTAATTTTAATTCTATTTCAAAAGTAATTTGTTTTCAAATCTAATTACATTTTTTCTTGTGTTCTCTCCTTTCATTTTTGTTTCTTTTTTTATTTTCTCATGCCAAGAACAGGATGAAGAGGAAGAAAGAAATAGCGTCCGATTAGCACGAAAAGAGTTTTGATTGAGTGATATTACTTTTTTTATTTTTATAAAATTATTTTAG